CTCCCGCCTCACGCAGAGTAAAAGCCCAAGTCTTCACCATTGCCCAAGGCGCCCACTTTATGCAGGCTTGTATAATACATACACATGAATATGCTTTTCCTTAGGAAATGGAATAAAAGAGAATAGAAAGTAACAGAGTGCATTTTGCACATGCTAAGGGCAAGTATTGTCTAGCGAAACTTTTGTTCTAACAAGATATATAATATATAGTGTATGATATGAATATACAATCCATGTGTTATATAATACATAAAATGGGTTTTATGTTCATAATACATATTAGATATACATATATAGCTGTAGTTTTTCTTCATAAAATGGAATACAATAAGATAGGAAATATCAGACTGCACTGCACATATTAAGGGTAATTATTTACTGAAACTTTCATTCCAATGATATATATATACGCACACACACAACACATAATATACAGTTATGTTACATATTACATAAAATATATTTTTATATTCCATTATATACTATGTCACATAATGCATGAATTATGCGATATTTATAAAGGGTGAATTGTGCATTATTGTATAAATCTGTAGATGGTGGATTACATAAACTAAACATCTTGCGTGGCTTGCTGCTGTAGATCCAGATGGAGGTGGAGACCTGTGTGCAGTGGGGTTACTGGGGGGTCTCTGGGAACAGCTCCTGTGGGTGGGGAGCGATGCAGGCAGGGATGGGCAGGGGGGAAGCTACAGTGCAATGCAGGCCCAACAGTTGATCCGACGGGATGCCGGAGCCGGTGTGATGCTCCAGGTCGTGCCAACTGAGGCAAGGGGGCCGGCCTTTGTTCTCCGACCCCCTTCCCACCCCTCTCCCCTGGCTTACTCTATTCCAGGGGTCGGTACACTCTTCATGTAAACGGTCAGACAGTAAATATTTTCATTTTTGAAGGCCGTATGATATCTATGGCAACTACAGTCCTCAACTCTGCCACTGTAGTGCAAAAGCAGACACGGAAAAGAAACACACGAATGAGGGTGACTGTGTCCAATAATCTTTATTAACAAAGACATACGGCGGGCCGGCCGGATTTGGCCCGAGGGCCTTAGTCCAATAACCCCTCCTCTACTCTGATAGCCATAACCCCTGGCTGTTCCAGAAACAGGCCAACCCCAGACCGGCCTCAGGACCTTTGTAAATACTAACGAGCCTTTCTTATTCCTTGGCAGCTGCCTTCGGGGCTCAGGGCACACGTCGCCCCCTCCCTGATCACCTGATCTAACTCAGCCATCCCCATTGCTCCTGGACGCAGACACCAGGTTAGGTCTTTACTTCTTTACTGTCATCTCCCACACTACATGTCAGCTCCATGATGGCGGGACCTTGTCTTGTTCCTGGCTCACTCCCAGCTACTCGAATGGGGCCAGGTGCGCAGTAGGTGCTCAGTAAACATCTGTCTAACGAGCAGTGGATGATGCCCACTCGATTCTCCTTTGGACATGCTTCTCCTCTCCCTCTGTTCATCGGGGCTGAGGGACCCAGGCCTGGCCACTCCGAGTCACAGGAGCTAGCACAGGGATGGCTGTATGGCCAACGGATCAGGTAGAACGTTAGGAAGTCCCTTTTCTCCTGGAGTGGCTCCCTCTAGGCAAAACATAGGGGACAACAGGGCCTGCCAGGAGACAGAAGAGGCAGAGCCCTCCAGACACGGTTTGAGGCTTTTGTGAGCCAGTGTGAAGGCGTTTCTGTTCTTTCCGCCCTAGTCCTGAGTCCCTCAGGAGGGGAGGAGGCTGATGCAGCCCAGCCCCTCCCTCCCCTATCACCGTGGGGCAGGCAGGTAACATGGGAAAACAAATGTCTGCATGTGCCTCTGTCCCCGCACTGGACCGCGAGGCCCCCGAGGGCAAGGTCAGTGCGGTCTCGGTCACGGCTGGGACCCCAGTGCAGCACAGGACAGGGCACACAGCAGGCACCTGGGCAAAGGTTTCTTGAATGAAAGAATAAAGGACACTTCTCCTAACAGGGATTTCTTAAATATAAAAAAAATGCATCGACTTGAAGACAACCGACCTCATTTACAAATTTATTCTACCCCCTCTCCCCAAGTCGCAAATGTATACAACCCTGTAGCTAGGAGGAAGCCAGAGCGGGGAGCCATCCTCTGGCCTCGCGCATTTTGAGGGGACTCTTTCCACTTCCACATGGCCTGATCCCACCGTGCACTCCCACCCAGCGGGTGAAGCATCCCGCGAGGTCTGGCCACAGGTACGGACGCATCACGTCTGAGCTTTGAGCCTCGACGTGAGGGCAACACCACATCACAGGGTCAGGATGGCGCAGGGGTTAGGAGTGGGGCTTGGGCCCATCCCACCTCTGCTTCCCCCCGGCCTGTGTGACCCTGGGCAGGTGACTTTCCCTCTCTGTGCTTCAGTTTCCTGATGAACGAAACGAAGAAAATGATGTTGTGGGGATTATGTAAAGCACTTAGAACAACGCCCAGCACACAACCAGAGCTCAATAAACTTGACCTGTTCCGACGACGGCCGCTATTCATTGACATGATGGGCAGGGGACGGGAGCAGTCACAGTCCTCGGCCTCGAGCAACCTGTGCTCCAGAGACGGGCTGGTGCCCAGTGGACCCCCCGAGTAACCATGGAAACCAGGCACTGAGCCAGCTCACCGGGCTCTATCTCCCCCCCGCTTCATGCAGTGGTCTCTCTCTCTTGCCTTCTTCCCTCATCATTTATCCCACTCAGGTCTCTTCCAATGTTAAAGACGCTCCCACCAGGGACCCACCTCCTCAGCTCCCTCTACATCAGCTTCTCCCCCTCTTCTAGAAGGAATTCAGATGATGTTTCAGAACCCCAGTCTCTTGGTTTTCTGTCTGGGTAGGTCTTGTGTCTGGCTCATTTTTACCCCTCTGGGGAAGCGAGGTAAGGGAGGAAGGGAGAGAAAGCCTGCCCCTCCCACTTCACCTGGAGCTGCTTGGAAACGGTGGGATCTAACCCCATTCACTAAATGCTAAGATCCCAGTGTGCTCTGGGGCTGCTCTGAGAGGGCACTGAGGGCCCCCCACTCTCAGTGCTGCCTCTGGGGTGTCTTGGGCCTCTGTGGAGATCCCTGCCCCTCCCCCCATAACCCACCCCCTCCACCTTCCTCCTGGCCCTGCACCACTACCCTCAAGTACCCTGTACCCCTTCTCCGTCTCCCTCTGTGCCCCTCACCCTCCTCTTCCTACTTCACCACCTTGGACAGCCAGTCCCTCACTGGCTTTGTGGCCTTGCACAAGTGCCTTTGCTTCCCCTGGGCCTCAGTTTCCCCATTTGGGAAAGAGTTCATAGGATGACTCTCTGCCCACTCACCCCCATCAGAACCCTCTCAGCTTCTCTCCTATTTTAGTGAGCTTTGTACCCCTTTTGGAGATCCATATTATGGTTATCAGACACACCCACAAGATGACTTCCTCACCCAGGGCTCCTCTAATTGGGAAACATCTGGAATCTGAGAAATGGAATGTAGATGGGTGAGGCCCACACCTTTCCCTGCCTCAGTGAGGAATCATGGAAGAGAAACCACGTAGTGAAGGGTGGTTCCCGGACTGTTCCTCTCACCTCGAGGGGAACGCCAAATGCCCCACGGGGTTGGCAGGAGTCCCAGCGTCCTCTTGGGGTGGGGAGGTGTAGTGAGTTGAATGGTGGCCCTCCAAAGGGTATGTCCACATCTCAACCCATGGAACTTTGTGAAATGTGAGCTTATTTGGAAAAGGGTCTTTGTAGATGTAATTAAATTAAGGATCTCGGAGTGAAATCATCCTAGATTTAGGGTGGGCCTTAAACCCAATGACAGGCGTCTTTATAAGAGACAGAAGAGGAGGAGAAAGCCACGTGAAGACGGAGGCAGAGACTGGAGATATATGGCCACAAGCCAAGGAGTACCTGAAGCCACCAGAAGCAGGAAGAGGCTAGGAAGGATCCCCCGCCAGAGCCTTCAGAGGCAGCGTGGCCCTGCTGACACCTTGATTTCAGATCTCCGCCTCCAGAACTGTGGGAGAATAAATCCCTGTTGTTTTGAGCCTCCAGGTTTGTGGTCATTTGTTACGGCAGCCCTAGGGGACTAATAAGGAAGGCAAGACCAACTGGTGGCCTAGTCCAGTGGGATGGAGGTGGGACTTCGGGCCACGGAGGCAGGAGGGTACCACTGCATGAAGGGGGACTGCTGGACCGTCCCGAGCCCCAGGGAGGAGGGCATGAGCATGCAGATCAGTAGATCGGGATGAAACATGGGCGATGTGATCATCTAATCTACAGCTGGTGTCCCCTGAGAGAGGCCACTGAAGAAGACGGGGGGAAGGTAGGAAAGGACACGTCAGGAAAGGCCCAGGGACTCTGAGGACAGGTACACAGGGGGCTGAGGCTCAAAGACAGGCTGGATTAGGTCTAGGCAGGCTCAATTTTCCCACCACGGAGCGGGGCTGGGAGGGCACTGCCCAAGAAGACCCTGCACAGCCATTCCAGTGGGCTGTGCCATAGATGGAAGGATGAGGGGGTTCTGCTGGAACACTCCTCTTGGGGTCTCACGGGAAGGTACCACAGATCAGGCTAACGGGGAAGAGAGAATATTCAGTGGATCAATTGCAAGCCAGGATCCCCTTTTTTTCCCCCTCAAAGAGGGTGGTGATGCCCAGCTAGAGCCCACCTTAGAAGGTGAGGGGACAGACGTCCATTGAAAGACACTGCATTTCCTTACAATGGTCAGTACCGACTGACAAAGGGAAGGGGGTGTTTGAGTGTAAAGGATGAGGGTCCCAGAGAGAGGTAACACTGATCAGCTAAATGTGGGTTGATGGGTTGATTCGGCTCGGCTGCGGGTTCCATTCTGTTCTTCTGCCAGAAGGGTGAGCGTGTTGTCCTGCTGGCTGGGACCTCTAGGTCTGTGTGGTCTGGGGTGGGGGTGGAGAGACGAGCGCTGTGGACTGTACCAATGAGCTAGAGGTCGGGGTGGGCTATGTCGAAACCCTTCACCTGCTGGGGGTGGTCCCAGTGGCAGGTACCACTGGTCAGTAGGGGGTGACTGAATCCCAGTTCCATCAAGATCCAGATGGTTTCTGCTGGGCCAGCACAGGCAGGGGTAGTGCGGGGAGAAGGCCACATCAGGGCACACACGGCTACGTCCAAGTTCAGGCTTCAGCAGGCTCCTATTCCTTGGACGCGGACGCTGCCTGGGGCGCGGACGGCGGCTCCCGGGGGCAGAGCTGGGCGCGCACCTCTTGCACCTGAGCCCGCAGCTCCTCCAGGGCGCCCAGGGGCGGCGCCGCCTGCACCTGCGCCTGCAGGGCCTCGAGCGCCTGCGCCAGGTGGCCCACCTCGTCCCGCATCGCGTCCCAGGCGGCGCGCTGCTGCTCCTCCTTGTGGCGCTGCTGCGTCTGGTGGCGCCAGTACTCCAGCACCAGGCAGCCGCCGCCCACGATGAAGATGGTGGCCTCACCCAGCAGCTCGGCGCCCAGCTCGGCGGCCGCCTCCTCGTTCAGCGGCTTGATGACTGTGCCCCGGAAGCCCATGATGCGCATCTTGGTCCGCATCTCCACCCAGTGGTACACTGCGGGGGAAGAGAGGGGTCAGGTGGTGCACCAGGAGCCCCCTGCAAGCCCCGCCCCTCCGTGTCTCAGGGTCCTGGTAGGAGCAATGGGTACAAGGCAGCCAGAATCACAGGGAGGTGAGGGGAGGCACTTCAGAATCACGATGGGGGGCACTTTAAACCTGGCTTTGCCCTGGGAATGCCGTCTGGGGTAAGCCCAAGGGCATCTTTTAAAATTGCCCAGAAGATTCTGGCAAGCAGCCAGGAATGAGAAACCCTGCCCCAGAGGGGAGGTCCTCGGTGTGGGGGCCACACCCCTGGAGGGCCATAAGGAGCTCCCAGGCCACAAAGTCCTGAGCTCAGCTGCCAGACGCTTAGCTCCCTCAAGCCACCAGTGGGCCAGCCAGGCGTCCTCCCCTGGTACTGTCACCCCACCCACTTCTCAGGAGAAAGGCAGACCCTCTTTCTTTCTGCCCAAAATGAATCCTCCCCAAATAAGGAGTAAGGGCTGCAAGCAAAGGGGACCTCTTGGATCCAAAGAAAGGGCAGCTGAAATGTGTGAATGGAGGCTAAGTGACCATGAACACAGGGTAACCAATCCTCTTCGCAAGTCTGGTGGCTTATCCTCGATTTTCACCAACCCTGAACATGGAGCTACCAGCTGTGAGCTTTTCGAAGACGTGAGGTTGTGGGCACATACCTTGGAAGAAGCTCAAGAGTTGACGGGTGCTGCTGCAACAAACACTTCCTTGCCTAGCTGCTGCTTTGTGAAGGAAGATTCTCTGCACTTGAGGCTTAAAAACCAAAGTAGAATGGATGCTGAACCCTGACTCACCCCTGCAACAATGTATATTCATCCAAGGACACAGGAAATTACTGGGGATGCCTGCTCAGCTCATCTGGAGATTCATTTCCAACATATTTTATTTTTCATGTTTAATAATTATCCATGAAAATGCATCATATATGAAATGTTTTAAATTAATTGTGCACTAACAATAATTTTAAAGATAATTCAATCCAGAAGAAAATAATTTAACATTTAGAACCTTATGGTCACAGGAAGTTAAACAAAATTAAAATTTGAATTTCTGTACATATTTTGGTTACTGATGCATAATTCATTAGACAGAATTCCGTGGGGAAGGGAACTATAAATATACGTTAAGGACAAAGAGGAACAATGTAGAATTTCTGACTTTAAAAGAACAGCTCGTTTTTTTTTTCTTTGAAACCAGACATTGGCAGGCCCCAGAACACTAGAGTATGTGGATTGCATTAGATACTTCAAAGGAAGGATGCACCAGCTGTGTTTGAAATGTCAATACTCATAACACACCAGAAATTATATCCTTTGCACCTACTTGAGCTTATGAACTATGAAGAGAAGTTTTAGTGGTCAACTTGAAAATGCACTAGGAGGTGTGGAAATTAATAAAAGAAACTTTAACTAAATTGAAGTTGGGAAACTTGAGTTTTAAGTCTTAAAGCTAAAGTCGGGGGAGCCTTAAGCCCTATCACAGGTAGTCAATTACACCAAACAAGAAGAGAAAGCCACCTGCATTTTCCACAGGAAGTAAAACCACTCCACTACAGAAGGAAGATTTCTCTCTGCACCTGGCAACAGCTCAGCCAATGAGAAACACCGCAGCTCAGCCAATGAGAATGCTGCAGCTCAGCCAATGAGAAGCTGTTTCCACCCTGAACTGTTACTTTCCCCCAATGGACTTTCCTTTAGAACAGCCCCTCCCTACTCCCCCTTTTTCTCTATAAGAGCAGCTCCGCCCCTTTGTTCTCTAGATTTGCCTGTGGTTTGCCATAGCATCACATCCCAAATTGCAATTCTTTTGGCTATTCCTGAATAAAATCATTTTGATATAAAGTAACAAGCAAATTTGCTTTTTAAGTTGACAAGGGTATATAGTTTTTCAATTTTTTAAAGGGATAGGGCAGCAACAATGTTTGATGAGCTCTGCCTGGAGCCAGCGGTAAGACTGGAGGAGTGTACCCAGGGCCCTCTCAGGAACTGCCAGCTGCTGCAGTCACTATAACTGCTAATTGTTATTTAGGCCCTGGTGTGGGGTTCCTGGGGTCCAGGCTATGGAGACCCCTCCCACACTGAGGTCCTAGCATCAGGCCAATGTGGGGTCCCCCCGGGGCTCCGCCACCTACTGCCTGGGCAGACAGCCCGCTTTGAGCCACCTCTGTAAAACAGGGAGATGAGGACCATACACCAGCCCTGGTGCAGGGCCCGGAGCTGGGTCTGTAACTGTCACCTGCTCCTTCATGTCAGGACCATATAGCATAGTGGCCGGAGAGCAGTGAGGAGAGACAGCACCAGCTTCTGCTGGCATCTCTGGGTGACTGTCCCAGCATCTCAGTGCAGACAGAGCATGGGGACCTGGGCCAGGGGATCTGGGTGTGCAAGTGGGAGAGGGCACACTGGGTGGAGGGGGGCACACATCCATGGCACAGGACATTAAGTCACAGGGGGTGTGTATGTGTATGTGTGTGTGGGGGGCTTTCAGAGCAGGGGCAGATGGTGATCTCTCAGGCCAGTGGCCAGATTTGAGGTTCAGGAACCAAGGTGTGGGTGGGAATGGAAGGTTGGGAAAGAGGGGTAGTTTGTGAGGGGCCAGGACGGGACAAGACTGAGGACTGCACCAGACCTGGGGTCCAACGGGCCCCTGGACGTCTCCCAGAAACCTCACATTCACTGCATCCAAACCTGACCCCAGCACCCCCATCACACACACTTACTCCTCCTCCTGGGTCCATCCTGTCACCAGGCCAGAGACCTGGGACTCAGGTGTTCCCCTCCCCCCCTCAGCCTCTCAGCTGCGTGTCTGGTCCATTCGGCCTCTTGAATGTCTCTCCCACACACCCTCCGCTGTCCTGGTCCAGGCTCCATCCCAGCTCTGGCCAGTGTCCCCTCCCTGACTTCCCTATTCAGGGATCCTCTGCCCCTCCCATCACTCTGTGTATTCCCCTTGGAGCGCCTATCCCAACTGGGAATGATCTTGTCATCCAGTCACTTGTTTGCACGCTGTCTCCCACGCTGGACTGTGAGCCCCATGAGGGCGGGGCCTGGGGCTGTCACCGTCACTGCTGTGTCCCTAGCATAGTCCAGTACTAGGCCAGGCCCACAGATGATGCTCAGTGTATCTTACTGAATGTGTCAATAGGTCCCTGCGCCAGCCTCCTCCCCATCGGCTGGCCCAGCCTCACCCCTGCAACTGTCCTCCAGGAGCTGCTTAAAAAACAACAAAAGCCAAAAAAACTGCCATTCTCTTCACTAATAAAAGTAACACACTGCATGAAAATAAAGTACTCAAACTACAAAATTAAAAGTCAAGGCCCAGTGGCACAGCGGTTAAGTGCGCGCTCTCTACTTCGGCGGCCCGGGGTTCACAGGTTCGGATCCTGGGTGCGCACCGACGCACTGCTTGTCAGGCCATGCTGTGGTGGCGTCTCATATAAAGTGGAGGAAGATGGGCACGGATGTTAGCTCAGAGCCAGTCTTCCTCAGCAAAAATAGGAGTATTGGCATCGGATGTTAGCTTAGGGCTGATCTTCCTCACAAAAAAAAAAAAAAGAAAAAAGTCAAGGCCACCCCACCCAGCCCTAATCCTTAGGCCCACCTCAGATGGACCCCCAAATCTTGCCCTCATCAGCCTTTCCCCCTAGCATTATCTCCCTGACATCTGATAATAAGTGGATATCCCTCATCTCTATTTCTGAGTTTTTCAACTGTAAGTGTGCTTGTATTTACACAATTATTTTCTATGGATCCCCCGGCCCCAGTATAAAAGATGAGCATTTTGTCCCCATGCAGCCTGTCTTTCCTTCGCCCCCCATTTTCACAAGTGACTCGTATACATTTCTTATTCTAGTATTATACTCTTTCCACTGTCTCCCTCAGCTCCCAACGTGGCCAGGGAGGCAACAAAGTGGTCTCCCCTCCCCGATCCCCCCATCCCTAGGCCAGATCATCCTTTCACGTTATTAGGGTTTAGCGCACAGGCTGTTCAGTGGCTATAATAAGGCTCCTTGTACCCTGTGCATTGGCCAAGTCAGAAAAATGAAAAAAGGCAGCATATACAATGTGACGATCATGGAAACACCATTTAGTGTGATGAGACAAGCTAGAGAGGAGCCCTCGGGCATGCTGTGTCACGAAGGGGGCCACCCGGGGCAGCATTCTCAGCATTAAGGTCAGATGGCTTCTCTACCCTTAAACTGTCCATCAAGCCACTGAGAATTCCACCACATGTCAGTGTGCCCTTAGCTGGACAATGATTTTCTAGAATGACTCTGTCTTCCCTCACATGGTATTTCTAAAACTGCAAGTCTTGTCCCATTAGCGGGCCATGAAATCAATTTAGCTGCACAAACCAGCTTAAAAATGTGATCAAGAATAGAATAGAAAATATTAGATGGACCTTGAGGGCATGACGCTATGTGAAATAAGTCAGACAAAGACAAATACCGTATGACCTCACTTATACGTGGAATTAAAAAATAACAACAACAAAAAGCCAAGCTCACAAATACCCAAAAAAGAATATAACAGAAAAGATCAAAGCCAATCTTAAGTAGTCAGACCAAGTATTGGTTCACAAAATTTTCATTCTTGTTTTGTGTGTGTCTGTGCAAAGGTGTGCGTAACTGGAACACAGTCAAAAGGTTGGAAGCCATTGTCATAGATTTTGGTTGGAATTCCATTAAATCTACCCATCAGGACACTGACACCTTCCCAATATTGAGTCTTTCAATCCACGAATATGGTATCGCTCTCCATTCAATCTCTAATTTTCTCTGCAAGTCTTGCACCTCTTTGATTATATTTATTCCTAGGTATTAACATTTTTTGACATTATTATTCATGGTATTTAAAATTCCATTTTCAATTTGGTTGGGGCTGGTATATAGAAATACAATTAAGTTATGTAAATGACTTTCTATCCAGTGACCTCACTAAATTCACTTATTCTTTTTTTTCCTTTTTAATGAAATATAAC